CAAACTCCACACGGAATTTAAAATCCTTTTCGTCGGAGTTGACTTTAACTTTTGTATTTTGAAATAACTAATAGCAACTTTATTTGGAATTGAAGTTTGATAATGCGGAAAATTGTACTTTATGCAAAATCATATAAAAACATCGTAGTATTATATTACGTATATTAGCTTATTTAAATTTCATGAAACTTTGTTAAAGATTTTAGAATAGACTTATATTTTTTTTAATATTTATACATAAAAAAATATTTTCACTTAAATTTTGAATGCTGTAAAAAGAACAGAATCAAATTAAAAAAATCATTGATGTAAAAATTAACAGAAACGGCCGCATTTCCTACGCTCGAGGAGTTTCAAAATACAATGTAGATGGGTTGATTGCACGGATACGTATTTTACACTGAATTTCACAAAATACAGTCCTTTTCCTTTCTTTTTCCGCTGTAAAGCTCGCCTCGCCGGAATATTGTACAGTACTTGGCCACCCCAATTGCTGATGCAGTGCTTCCTTTGATTTTCCTGAGAAGATAGTCTAAGATTTCTGTTGTAAACTAAAAAAATATATACCAAATCCATCTGTTGTGTTGTAACTATAAGTTTCTTGTAATTATACGAAGACCAATTTTTGTACTTTCAATAACTATTCATAAGTGTAGAAATTAAATTTACGACTGCCAGGGGAATAGATAGTGCAAGTCATATGTATGCCTCATGGTTTCGACGGATAGTTTGTAATTGGATAACAATACGAAAAGTCGGTACCATACCATCAGATTTGTTGATATAATGGCCACTAGTAAGCTCCTCCAATTTAGAGCGAAAAACGTAGGGCGCTTTGTCTATCAAAATAATTAAAACTTGCTCAATGAGACTCTACCAAATGCGCTTCATGCTTTTTACCATACCTCACGTATACTCACACTTTAAAATATACATTTTAAACACTAATAGACGTACAGACAGTGTGATAAAAGCGTACTCTATATATAGTTTTTGTTTCATTTTATTTAGTACGATGCACTTTACCTACTATTATATACCCAGTATACGATCCATGAGGCAAAAAAAACGTATTTTATTAAAAAATAAGAATTTACTCTTTAAATAAGACTTAATCGTCACAACATGTATAAATAATGAGGTACAACATAAAACGTTTTAGAAATTATCGCCGTTCAGTACTTACAGTTGAACACGTCTTTCCTGAATTAATTTACTGCTGATTTAAATACAAATTGCCACCTAACTTAGCCTTTAGTCTTCTTAGATCTAAAACGATAATATCGATTAATGAATTGGCCTGTAAATAACGGGCTATTTCGTTATTGCTAGTATATTAATGTCCGCATAATATATAATTTACAGTACAAGTTTTTGTTGAACGCAGCTGTGAAACATTCCAAGCTATAATTCCATATATTTATGTTTTTGTGATGGGTAATGTATTTTCTACTTCCCTTCCTTTAACTACGTAAGTGATTTTCTTGTAAGCACTACGTGACATTATTTTACAATGTACCGCTTTAAGATTTGATTTTTTATTTTCAAATAGATATTGAGCCTTATTATGAGGGATATGTTTTAAAATCTGTTAATTAAAAGTAAAAAAGTTTTACTCATTTATGTACAATTTTGGGTATACTGTACCTTACCTATTTACCACTGAAAAAGTAATTAATTTTGTGAGCAGTTTGATGTCACTATTACAAATAAAGAAACAAGACAAAGACTTTATCCAGACTTAGAGCAACTTTTTAATTTATAATAAGTTCAAGTAAACGCGGAGCTATCAGTCATTATTTATTAGTTCATTTACATTCATTTAATGCAAATGGCTAAAGAATTAATTATGCATTCAATTAATAGAACATGTGATAATGATACGATTATGATTTAGTACTAAATTAATGCTGCGGCTACGTGCTAATATTTGGTATAGGCATATTAAATTGTTCTAAATTAAAATTAATATTTAATATCAGCAGGAACGGCTCTATTGTAAGCTACCAGTTAAATACAATTGCAATGATTGTTATTTGAGATTTTACATTTTTGAAGGAGAGCACTTTCTCTATTATATGGGTTATTGGATATTATTTGGAAGTGAGATATGTATATTCTATCAGTTTTTTTCGTTTTACCACGATATACTAAAGTACTCGTCAATATAATAAAAAATGTTGTTAGTGAAAGAAAAAATAGTTTTACAGGTCATCTATAAAATAAAAAAAACAAATATACTAATTTTATCTCTCTCTCTCTCTCTTTGTAAACATCCACTTAACACGACATAGCTCTTGTTCGTCAGATATTGACATCCTCTGATTATGTATTGCGATTGACTCCTGAATTATGTAATATTTTTTTTATTATTTGAATTATGTAATTTATTTTATATTAACTACTAAATAACTTTTGCAGTAGGTAATCCTAAGTGAAAACAAGTTAAAAGAATTTTTAATGTTGTTAGGTGATCAGCCTGCTTCGCTTACGAATGGTTGTTCTTAAACAACCATAGCTTATGAAGGTAAACAGTAAACACAAAATTTTCAGTAAATGTTTAATCTAGTTTCCGGATAGTACAGAAAGATATGCCTGTTACGTTATTCGCGGAATTCTTTTGTAAAATGTAGATCTGCTTTAAAATTCGAACATGGTGAAAACTGGAATGTGTTTTAAAAGTTTGCAGCATTGAAAAAAAAATGGAATGGTTACAATTCTCTTTATATTCTAATAAATACTGATAAACAAGAGGAATAAATTTAAAAAAGTTATTTCAACTTAATGTAATACTAGCGATTTACTCGCGCTTTGCTCGAGTGCGTCCCTAGGTACGTTTTAATTTTTTTTGGCATAACCCTTAAATAAAAGTAGCCTAAGTTACTTCTTATAATATCAGCTATCTGCCAGTGAAAATTCCATCAAAATCAGACCATTTCGGAGACTAGCTGGAACAAACAGACAGACAGATGAAATTTTAAATATTGTGTTTTTCTTATAAATGCAGTATATTATTTTATATGTATTTAGTAAAAAGTTTTTATTTCGTCACTACAAACAGACACTTCAATTCTGTGTAGATTTATAACGCATATGTTTATTTGTGGCTAGTTTGTAGAATTAGGTTGATACAGAATTAATTGATTCTTAATGCATATACAGGTTTATTTATATAAATATACTAGCATTGCCCGCAGCTCCGCCCGCGTTCAGATGACCAAAAACCAAATTCTTAGGTTTTACATATTAGTATACTCTTACATTGCAGTTTTTGTATATTTTCTCAGAAATGAGGTATTTTCCCGCGGTAAAAAGTATCCTATATGTTGACCCGGATAACCAGCTATCACCATACCATGTGGTTGTGTGGTTCTTCTGTGATGCGGTAACAGACAACAGAAAACTATAGATTCGGATTCTGTATCGCCAATGATATTTTAATAAGATTTTCCAAAAAATATTGAATGTACAGATTTGGCTTAGTTACAATTTTATTATATGCATAGATAATAAATTAAATAAAGACAGAATTTCATAACGAATATTCCTCACTTAGTATAAGAAAATTTATTTTACAAGCATAGTAAGACTATAATACTTTCTATAAATATTTCGGATCGCTAAGTGCCGTAAATATCTTGTTTATTATACATCCAAGCTCTTTAAACTCGGTATCAATTAGGTACATGAAATAAACTGGCGCGCCAATATAAACTAAATGGAACTAATTTTATAATCCTTGCATTAATTGGGCTCCTACAAATTTTAAGGTATTCAAGTAAGCTTTACTTTTAATAATCCATACTAATATTATAAATGTGAAAGTGTGTTTGTTTGTTTGTTTGTTTGTTTGTTTGTTTGTTTGTTTGTTTGTTTGTTTGTTTGTTTGTTTGTTCGTCCTTCTTTCACATCAAAACAGAGTGACAGATTGGCTAGATTTTTTGTGTGGAGATAGTTGGAGGGCTGGAGACTGACATAGGCTGCTTTTTACCGTGGGAAATAATCTAATTCCCACGGGAAAATACGTTATGATACAATCCAAAAAAAATATTTATGATCAGAATTACTTGAAACTTGGTATTAATGTTCTTCAATAAAATTAAAGAAATACGTGTTTTAGCATTTTTCGGAATTCATCCTATAAGGGTGTAAAATAGGGGGTAAAAGTTTGTATGGAACTACCTTTTTAGAGCTATTTTTTAGTTTTATCGCGAGCGAAGCCGCGGGTTCTGCTAGTATAATATAAATATGTTAGGATATTAACACGCACATCACCATCTATGTAGTTAAATGGTAAGCTACGAGGCTTGTGTTATAGATATCAAATAGTTGATACACCACACATATACATAGCTTTAAATACATACATATTATAAATATAAACACCCATGACTGAAGTACAAACATTCGTGCTCATCACACAAATGAATGCCCCCAGCGGGACTCGAATTCGAGACCGCGGGCATAGCAAGTAGGGTCACTACAATCTGAGCCAAACGCATCGTCAGAATAGCTTGACCTTATTGTTAGAGTAGACATTTTGAAGCTGCGTTCTATTATGAATTTTTGGATGAATAATATTTTTCGGTTGTCAAATTAAAAAAAGGACGGAAGAAACTAGAGCATACTGTTAGTACTAAGTATTACAAATATTTGTTTTTGAAATCAGATAATGTAAATTACTAAAATTAATTTATTAAGACTTACTAAGTTGAACAAATCCCCATAGGTATATATCCCTATAGGATAGGACTCATACAGGATAAAGGAAAAGATATAGATATTCCTCAGTCCGTTTCCTCCTTTTTGATGTTACATTGATTTTACTCTACATAGTATGTAAGTTTTAATTTTTATAAATAGACTGAACATCTGGGCAAACATCTGAATGATCAGTGTTTTTCCATTGTGGAATTGAATCTCGGACCCTTTAATTAACCGACAATATTTTGTTTTAGTATCAAATTTCTTAAATTATTTTTCTTTTTGCAGAAACCAACATGTCCCTGACGTTGCTATTTCACGTGGCTGTGGGGATAATTGTGCCCGTGATAGCAGGTATGTTCTGTAAAATATAAATTAGCTTTCCTACATTATTATTTTTACGTTACGTTACGTGTAATTAATCCTTAGTAATAATTAAATGAAAAATTATTCTGCGAGTCTGCTTGTTACATTGTCACATTAAAACCGCTTTCCAAATTGATGAGATATGGCGTGGACATAGCAATCTATGTCCAAATCTATACCCATGGTACAATTACTAAGGACATAGATTGTAGTATGGGGATGGTCCTAGTTAAACAGATATTACAGGATATAAATTACGTGTACACAAACCCAACGTATAGATAAAATAATAGAGATAATCTTATAGAGATAGAGATAATCTTAATAGAGATAGAGATAAACCCAACGTATAGATAAAATAATAGAGATATATATAAAGAATAGAATTAGAATATAGAGATAGAAATAAATTTAGAGAAGATACAGGACATGTATGCAAATGTAAGCAATTTTCTTTTGTATTATACTACTTATATAAAATAGTAATACTAAGTTACTAATCGACTAATAGAACTCAGTGAAATAATGAACTTAATTAGATTTTAAGTCTTGAGCAGTGTATAACGAAATCTTGACGAATCTTGTGAAAGCTTTGTGATTAGACTTTTGGATTAAAACTGAAATGAAATCAGTAGATTTGCTGAGGTAGTCTGAAATTTAATTATAACGATAAAGACCTTTTTGTTCTTTTAGAATCCTCTGGCCAATGTCGATGACTTTAAAATTACGTGTTAACAAGTAAGTGTTAGCAAAAAAATTTAAAGCACTCTTTATATTGTGCTCAAATAGAAACGTAATGACTACTTAATTAAAATACAATTTGAACATTATGTTTTTAGTATAGTTAATTGAATCAGAATAATCTTTAATTACTACGATAGAGATGAAGAATAAAGAGAATAAACATATATTCAAAATGTCTTCAAATTCGAATGTTTTATTAGTAGGTATTGAAGAGCTACACTATCGACATACTGTCTCCATCAGATCGATTACAGCAAATCGTTTATTTTCATCATAAATGTACATAGAGAGTTACAAATCTATATACATAAAAAAGTCGGGTTTGTTACAACACTTATATCTCGAGAACTGCTGGACCGATTTTTATGATCTTTGTTTTGTTGGATTAATTTTCAACCTGAATAGCAGAATAACTATTAACACAGCGGAGAAATTCTCTAAAAAAAATTGAAAAAAAAAACAATTCCATACTAAGCGTCAAAACGTACGAGTAGTTAGGGACGAACCTGAGCGAAGCGAGGGTGAGTCGCTAGTTCATAATATAATTATAAGTTTATTAAGCCAAGAATCTTCCAAGAGTCGATGCCATAATTATTTGATATAAGTCAAATAATAAAAGCGTGTTATAATATATTTTTTAATAATTTAGAAAGACCCAGCATTTTTTGTAACTTCACATATCTATATTTAATTAATTAATTATTGGCGTAACTATGATAGTAGAATAGAAGTAATTTATTTTACCATTAGTGGTGAAAGACATTATGGTATATGCTATTTGTTAAAAAAGAGGAACATAAATAACACAAAATAAAACACATTCCAATTCTATAGGTACCTCATCTTTTTGAAGTCGGACTAATTGTAAAAACTGACCCATATAAAAATCCATTACACTCAAAGCTTAGTAATTCACGTTAGCTCGATTTGTTTACTCATTAAAATTAATTGCCAATACAATCTGTGTTTTTAATCCTAACATATTGATGGGACTGTGTCCGGCTGCGCTTTGTGACTTTTACATGATTACTTATCCATTGTCGCGTGGACGTGGCCGCATTCTACCTTTTTAGTAAATACAACGCTATGTATACTGAAGTGGTAAATTGATATAATTTGTTAGTTTAGGGTGCTGTAGGTTTAAATGGGACGTTTTTTTGATCATTCAGATCATTCTATTATTACTTTTACAATTTGTTGTAGATAAAAAAAGAATGAATTTTTTTTCTAACAGCAATCATTAAACATAATTTACTATTTAGTGTAAAATAGCCAAAACTTTAGTTATGTAATTATAGTGTCAGAACTAATTCACATAAGAGCTCGCACTTGTCCAGATTTTTTGTATTTGAAATGGTCCGTGACGCTCCCGGCGGATGCGGCAGGTAGCGCGCACACATTGACAGCTCGTTTATTGTCGGGCAAATAAAAAGCACTAATACGGTAGCAGGTTCCGTAGATAAATACGAAGATATACTCCATTTGTTGGTCTTTTTAAACCTGTTTAAAATGCGGCTGATGTATTAATAACGTTTGTACTAAATATGTTGGTAGCTTGTTATATTATAGTGCTTTAAGTTTCTTCAAGCTTCAAGTTAGAATGTTATTTAAATTTATATATTTTTTTATACTATCGACTTACTTTTGCTTCGCTCGGGGAGTCCTTGTGTGCAAATGTGTGTGTGTGTATGTGTGTGCATATGTAACAATAGCTTATGGGTTACTGAAGTTCATAGCCTATCAATGTACTAAATCTCATCGAAATCCATCCAATCGATTCAGCGTGAAGTGAAGAAAAACATACAAACTTTCGCATTTACAATATGAGTCTGTTTTAGTATATTACATGAAATTAGAGATATAGGCGAAAAAACTTTTATTATAAATTTATCCATCTTCGAATATTGTCACAAGTTTCAGAACAAGGTAAACTCTAATATACAAATAGAGCCTACATCAAACTTGTCTCGATTCCTAAATCGTACATTCAAATAAAAATACCATATAAAAGGTCCGAGGATTATTTGTTAAGCTACTTACGGATCTCAAATAAAACCTGTGAATGCAATCGGGGACTTTGAAACCTCTAATGGGTGCGTGTGTCTCTGAGCTATAGATGTTTGTAGATAGGTTCTGGAGTAAGTATATATATTATGTGTGTTTTTGTTTTCTTATACAGCAATTTCACGCTAAATCGTTATTACGTTCTCGCCTATAAAGACTTGTCATTACATAGTAACTGCCGGTGAATTCTAGTAAGAGTATCTAGTAGTAGTATATAGTAAAGTTGTACATTTAGATAATAATTTCAGCGATTTATTTTATTTCTTAAAGAACAGAGAGAGTTAGAGATCCGTTGTGTTTTCGTAAAACGTAATATTAAATCGAAAATCTTAAAACGGAAATTATATCGAACCAAAATTGGAATTGTGATAAATGTACATATACATACATACATATATAATTATCTTTTATCAGTGCCTTATTGTTTGCATACTATTAATAAATATAAATATTTATTTCTAGTTTTATTTGAATTCTTAATAAATAATGTATATAAAAAAAAATTATATTATCACAGATATGTTGGCAAATAAACTTTGTGTAATAACTTATACAACGTATAAAAATAATTTCCGTAAAAGCTATTGAATAAGTAATAACAAAATCACCCACGATGATATTTTTATGTACGCAGTGTTGTTTATTCGCCTTAATACCATCTTCATATTGATGGACATAATCGTTTAGCCAAATTAGAAAAAAACTCGTAATTGTTCTAAAGGATGATTTTTTATTACATTTTTATTATAAAACGCGGTGTAAAACAATATTATAAAATAAAATAAGCTTTTGAAGAGAATGAATTGCCGTCTGTTTTCTTTAATGTTTATTTTATTGCAAACGGCGTATGCCTTAGCGTCTGTTGTCTTTTTTCAATTCAATTCAATCCATTTATTGTTATGGCCTCGTATTATACCTAAATTGAGAAACAAATATCCAAGTGGCTTAATAGTAAAAGTAATTGAAATTAAAAATAGGGTCTGGTCTGTTTTAATTGTTTAAAAGTACGCTCTACGTAATTAGCTGTGACTTTAAAAATGATGATTTAGCATGAGAGAGATATTAATATTGTAAAGTTAGAACTTATCAAATATGCAGAGCGCGCACTTGTTAGAGTAATTGAGTTTTATTGTAATAAAAAATATTAAAAATTATTTCATCATGATGAGACCTTTTGAAAGAAATTATTCTTAAATTTCTTCATTAAAATATTAAGTTTAGGAATGTCTCTAAATATTACAGAGTTTTTTTAACCAATCCATAACATTATAAAATTACTAATAATATTAATTTAAAATCTAAGAATTTGTTACTTTTCTTTCTATCTTTCTATGTGTCTTTGTTTCGCCCTTGTGCTGTTTTATTTCTTTTTGATTGGATTACTTCAAGGAGTGCTTTCCACTAAAATATATTCACTCGCTTATTCGTAATAATCAAAGAGACAAACAGAAAAAACAGATAAACTTTTTAATTTATATTATAATTATAATTAAGTATGGAATTATACAAGATAAAAGCCAGAAATTAGAGGGGAGTAATTACTTTTACTCGGGGCAAATATAGCTCATGTTGTAATCTAGGATATTAGCTATCCTCATTTAGAATGAATTCAAAACCTTTAAAAAAATTGAGCCCCTTACAGTGTTAAGAAGTAACAGACACACTCACTAATGCATTTTTAATATGAGTGAGATAAAGCTAAAGATATTTATAGACACTCTTGCATCTTATACCTACATCAAAATTATTCATGGTTGATGATTCAACTCGAAGATAAAGATGTAAAAATGCTTTGAATTCTCTAAGCAGTCGTTGCTATTTGTTACTCAAAAAGAATCTGATAAATTCCTTTCCTGTGTTCAAAACGACGTAAGACTTGAACTTTGTGTTCAAACTTGAACTTTGTGTGAAGGCTTTAGTACCAAGGAATATACCATATTGATCAAGATGGTATGTGTCGTTCACATTTCAAGATCAAAACGTGTGTTATAATGTTTCAAGGACGTCAAGATATGTTTCACTGACTGTACGATGGCTGTAGGAATGCAAATAAAAAGCATAGGATTTCATTTTTTGTACCCATTTATGTTGCCTAGATGGCTTGAATTACGTAATTATATGTTGTAAAAAGATCAACTGGTTTTTTAAATGTCCTAATTAATCAAGATTTAACTTGATTCTAGTTTTAAAGCAAAGCTATTTGTTTATTTGTTTGGACATGATAGAATTCCAATATTTGATAAACTGTAAATATTAATTTAATTTTATATTTTAAAGGTAAAAAATAAATGTTAATCGCAATTTTTGCTGGTTTTACTAAATTACGCTACACCTAACACCATATTTCTAATACGGATCCAAATCTATCCCGAGTCTCGCAGTCGTTTATTGTTCATCATTCCACCACCGAATCTAGGTTAGAAATATAAATAATAAATAAATAAATATGGTAAGCTACGGGGCTAGTGTTATGGATACCAGATAGTTGATACACTACACATATATAGCTTTAATTACATACATATTATAAATATAAACACCCATGACTAGAGTACAAACAACACAAATGAATATCCCCACCGGGATTCGAACCCGCGACCGTTGCCCAGCAAGTAGGGTCGCTACAAACTGAGCCAAACGTGTCGTCGTAGAAGCAAGCGTGCTGGGTATCTGGCTAATTCATTTTTGCCTATAATATTTGTTATCTGCTAGTATCGAATTTTGTAGCTACGGTGTAGGTAGCAGACAGTAGATATTTTAAGCTTATCAGTGTAAGCAATGATGATTATTCAATATCAAGCCTAATTCTATCTATATAAAAAAAAATCAGTGATCTAACAAAAAAATCTAATTTACAGAAATCGAAATGGAGTTTACTAAATACCCTGAATCGGTGACTGCTCCTGTCGGTGATGAAGTAACCTTCGAATGCGCTGTAAGAGTTCCCGGTGAGAGACTAACCTGGAGATGGAAACCAGATAACGATAACTGGGCTGACTGGCACAACGTCAATAGCACCAGTGAAAAGGAAAATTCATCATCTACGCGGTTGGTCGTCCAAGTGGAAATGGATACTGTAACCGCTTTTTATCAGGTGATGTTAGGGATGTTAGTGTGTTGTTAAATTTTAGAAATATTTTTTTTGTTAATGTTTGTATAGAATATTTGAATTAAAATATTTCAAACTGCTGCCTCAGGATGTGAATTCGGTTTGGCTGCAATTATTTTATATTTTTGTTAGCTTCGAAATAAATTTTGTAACAATTGCACACAAACCTAGCTCTTATAAAAGAAAATAAGTTATTTGTGATCAGTAGGCTTTATATTCAAATATCTTTGGGGACAGATGGTACTAATTAATTGTTTAAAACGTGAATAAATGTCTGTTTTTGATTGACTGGCAATTTTATTAGTGTGTAAGTGGAAGCCAACCAATGCTACCACAAGTTACAATCGATTCCAAGAAAGAGCTTCAATACTATCGATTCAATATAAGACGAAAAGAATGTCCTGCTGGAATCGATCTTTCGTTGCTAAATATTTCCTGTAGGAATCCTTATAAAAACAATAAAATAATCAAAGGCTTTGTTCTAAATTTGATTACAAAATGTTGACATTGATAAGTTAGTTGCATAGTCGGATAATTATCTTAATTGATCGAATGTATGTGAGAAATGGATGACTCATAAATATTTTGAAAAACAAAAGAGATAAATCGAGATTGAAATTTTAAATGTAGTTGTACATGGTAATCTATACATATTATAATAAAAGTCTGAGTCAAATCTGTACATTAAATATTTTTTGTATAAACTTATTGAAATAGTCATTATTATCGATACAGAGGCCGAATATATAGTTTTCAGAATTTTTGTCTGTTTGTCTGGGAACACATCACGAGAAAACCACTGGACCGATTTTGATGAAATTTGTTTTGATGATAGCTGGTTATCCAGGTTAACATATTGAATACTTTTTACTGCGGGAAAATACCTTATCTCTGTGAAATCTATACTAAATGTTAAAACGTAACGAGAGATGAACCCGAGCGGAGCGAGTGCGAGTCGCTCGTGTATATTAAATATGGTTAGAATAAATTGTTAAATAAATATATGATAGTGAAATAAACTTCTCTTGTTTGTTGTTAAGTTATTATCAAAAAAATTAGCCTTTATGTTGTAGTTTTAAAATAGCAATTATTTTAACAGTGTGTAGTTTGGTATGGGGCTATCAGTCTAGTTTCGATACCCGCCCGCCTTGCCATAGCTAAGGTGGATCTTAGCAGAAACACTCAAGAAAGGCGGGTAATCACCGCTCCGTTATATAATACTGTGACGTTACATTGTAAGGAACCTCTATCAGAACCAATAGCAAGATTGAACTGGTGGAAAGAAATTAAGGTAAACCAAATAAAAACTATTGCGGCTTTAAAAATGTAAAATTATGCTTTTGTTTATAAAATGTTTTTTATTTATTTATTATCTCATAATATTTGTGTGATTGCAAAGTCGATACGTGCTGTCATTTAGCTGAATACAAACTTTCGTTATGTCACAATCGAACCCGGGATCTCTAGCTCCTTTGATATTATTTTTTTAAATGTTAAAATAATATGATCATAAATATCTATTAAACTTTATAAGATTGCTTACCTAACATCTCTTGCGACAACTATTACGCAGACGCCTTTGAGTGACAGTAACTTTAATGAGATATTGGATTATGATTTTTCGTACATTCTCCGTAAAATAGCTATCAAATAGATAGACATTTTAATATTAGAAACATGCACTGTATATGTTTGCACTGTGTATGTATTTATAAGAAAAAATCTTTTCAGGGTTCAAAAAAGATTTTAGATACTCCGAACGGAGTACTTGTAATAAATAATGCAACAACAGAAGACAGTGGGACATATGGATGTACGGCTACCAACGATATAAGCGAGCGATCTGTAGACTTGCCGGAGAGGACTTATCTAAAAATACAACACGAGGGTCACGGAGGTATTAGGTGAGCTTAAAATACACAATTTATCCGAATTAATTAATAAAATATTTAGGCAAAATTACTAACTGGGGAGCTCGCAAAAATAAAGTCAATTTGAAAAAATTGAAAGTTTTAATGCAATAAATGACCAGAATTATGACTACCATACCATAACTCTGTCCATGGACGCAAACACTTGTGACCAGAAACAGACCAGCGGCGAGACTATCTATGTTTTAATTTAGTTTCGATCTCAACTCTCGTAACGCGGGTGTAGTTTCTAGTCAAAATTAAAAATATTTTAGTCAGCATTATACTATTATAGTTTTTTTTATTGAACGTCATGAGTCTACCATGAGATAGGAAAAAACTACAGTCCTGAGAGGAACTGGTGAAAGAAATTCAGAGGGTCACTTGTTAAACAGTGAACAATGACTCTCTAAGACCAGCTACCTGGTCGCGTATTAGAAACTTAAGTAACGTAAATCTTTGGTTGCTGGTCACCTTACGCTTGGGCCTAGTAAATGTTAAAAAAGGCATAATTAATGTATACGTTAATATTAAGGTTTGATGTTCTCCTAGCCGATTCCGGCCACGGCGGCCAATCTCATTGAGACTAGCCAACTGCGCAGGAGATATTATAGTGCACATGTGTACGCGCAAACACAAGTGCACTCTCTATTGCTGTCACTCTCATACTCCGGTGGGACGACTGCTCGACACGACCAGTGAGAGTTAAGCCGCAGGACCGACGGCTTTACGTGCTCTCCGAGGCACGGGGGTGAAACACCGCCAACTTCCCAACTCCGGGCTGTTACTGAGACTTACTATACAGAAAGACTCAATAACTAAACTTGGCCCGACCCGGGACTCGAACCCAGGACCTCCGAGTGTGCAGCCGTACATGCTGGCCACTACACCACCGAGGTAGTTAGGTTAAGGTCTATACATATTATAAAAGTCTAACAGCCTCCAAAAATATATTTCGACTGCAGTAAAAGCAAAATCTTGAATGTTTAGAATATTTGTCTGCGACTTTTACTCAAGAATGGCTAAGGCGCTAGACAGACGTCAATAATACTTTCTTTGATAGGCAATAGCCTGACCTAAAAAGAAATTTTCTTGTCGTTTGCCTACGGCTTGATCTCGTTGCTCTGCGCAATATGATACAAAGAGGGAATTATGCAAAGTTGTTACGAACTCAATCGAAATACATAAACAGAGGAAAACGTAAATAGTCTCATATATAAGAAAATAAAATAATATTGTTTGGTATATGTTTTTATATACATATATATAGCTTTGAGAAATGGTTTATTATTGAGTGACTTAAATGTGCTCAATTCGGGTTGTATGTTTGTCTGTTTGTTATGAATTATAACGTCCTTGCGAACTGTAAACTTTCTGAAACTGAAAACTAAGTTTTTTGATTATACCTCAAGGGTTTCACCTCATTACGGGATCACTACTCGCAAGAGACATTTTCACTCAAAATTTTACTTAAAATTTATAGTAAAAAAGTAATGATAAATTCATATTTAATAAAAATTTCAACAGATTTCTAGAAACAGATGATTTCGTGGGAACTATAGACAAGGATGGTGTATTAACAGTACCGGTAATGCCAGACGGCGCATTGCGATTGTGGTGCGGCATCGTGGGGACTCCCCCACCACGGGTTACTTGGAGTAAGGGTACGGATATCAACTTGCCGGAACACTCTCAATATCTGCTCGTACAACCGTTTACAGCGGAACATGAGGTTAGCTTTGAGATTTGATATTATAATATTTTATTCTTAATGTCGCCTGAGGCCCATTTTAAGGTTTAGGTTACAGCCATATACCCGAAATTTAGTAGGAAAGTCTTAGAAGTGAACCCCAACATAAAGTAGAAACTTATATGAACTGAGGGGATGGAAAAAATTTATATGAGCTTATATAATTTAATATATGCATATAATTTTGGATAGATCTTTAAAAATCACAGTATAGTAGAATTATGGACCACTGCCCGTGTTATATTAATGTACTATAGAAAACTTTCTTCAGTATTCTTACATCATGACACTATTTTTTAATAACAAAAGCTTATATGATTTTACGATAATAAAATATCAGAACCCTTAATTTATAGCTCACTTATTTTTGTAAATAGTAATAATATAAACACGTTCCAGGGTATCTACTCGTGTTCAAGCAACGGAATCCGTCGATCTTGGAAGGCAATAGCTCTGCAGCCGCCGCACTGGGAGGGTTCCGTCGGCAATGTGAACGTTATAGAGGGCTCTGAAGCGAAGATCGTATGTGGAACCCCACATGGACACCCGGCTCCTAAAGTACATTGGGTGTTTAACGCTAAACTAGTTAAAAGCGGCAAGGGAATTAAAGCCACAGGTATTGTGTAGATTTATAGCTTTTAAAAATTAAATAAGGAGGAATGTGTGATTAACATAGTATGTCGATTATATTGAGTGAGAGTCGACTAGCGTTGAACTGGGTAGAATCAGCCAGGGAATAATGGCACCAGTTAATTATGAAGATTTTTAATATGAGAGAGAGAGAGAGAGAGAGAGAGAGAGAGAGAGAGAGAGAGAGAGAGAGAGAGAGTAAGAGAGGGAGGGGGGGGGGGCGGGGGAAGAGAAAGAGAGAGAGAGAGAGAACATAATTAATTCAAATAGAATTTAAACAATACACACAAATATGTTATAAATTATTTTAATAAACAATGTAAATATTTAGAACACCTTCAAATGTAACAAATACAATTAATGAAATTAAAATATCTTGTAAAAATTGTGCATACGTATGTTTTGTATTACGTAAAATAAGATTTAATAATACAAAAATATAGTCAACATTAATAATCCCTAAGTAGTGCGGAACTTGTTAGAATCGCTCACTTGACCGGTTGTACGTTTTCTTTAGGATTCTTGCCAACTTTGGGAAGTACTTACGATTTCTAGACCATCATATTGTTTGAGTTTATTTCCGGAAATTTAGTTTATAGTATGATATATTCATTATGAAAATTGTGTTCTTGATAAAACTCTGTTTTATTAATATCTTCTCATACCGCATAGCCCAAAAATCCGTATAATAAAATAGTAATTATGCCAAATCAGTACATGAAATATTTTTAAAAAAGGGTGAGTGTAAGTGTTGTATACAGTGTTTGCCTGTATGCCTGTTTATCTATATATCGGCGTACATTTCACGCAAAAAGTATTGAACTAAATATGTAGTGATAACATAATACACTCTTAGATTTACGCGAATGTTTGATATTTTAAATGAAACTATCTTTTCAGATTATTCTTAGTGATAACTTATTACTTGGGTCAACATTTATATACCTTTTTGACTACAGGAGAATCTCTCATTTCCACGGGGAAACACAATTAACTGGTTCGGCTTCTATGATTTATTACACAAAAGCTTTTGATACTACGGTTATAATTAACATATTTAACAATTAAGTGCGATAAAATCTATCATTTTCATGGGAAAATAAAAATTTATTTCGGGTCCAAGTTGCTCGTTTATAGATCTACCTATGTATATCTTGTACATGGTAAAAACAGTCGCTGGCTGCCTCTGTCTGTATCTTCGTTAAATTCTCTAATTCACGTAACGGATTTTGATACGATTTTAATTAATAAAAAGAGGGATAAATGGGGAATATTTATTTACACATATAATATGTAAATAAATATTTTGTGAAAAATGTTTGATAAATATTTTGTCAAATAAAATGTTTACGTACGCTTACATGGTTAATGCTATCTAAACCCTAAGAGTATATAACAACAATGTACTAGAAAACTGTAGGTCTTGAAAAGACCTACAGAGGATTGGAGATAGCATGTATCTATTTGTTAAGGTACACTTACAATATATTTTACAACTATTTTATGTATTTAAGAAGAACCTAAGGACGAAACCGAGCTATGCGTGGTTAAAACTCTAGTTTTTGATAATTTATGATATAGAAATAAAAACTTAAAAAAACCGACTCCCAGGCACTAAAAATGTAAAAAATAACTAAACGGGGGTTTTCATTTCGAATTGATACCTAATCCGGTAGTTTCCAAGTCGGTGCCAGCCGACAATATTTTAAGATATGAATATCTAATAGGTAAATATGATATATATTTATAAAGTAACTCTAATTATAGTTAAAATATTATACATTAATTTGTGATGTATTTCAGGTATCGAAATATATTAGATTTGCTTTGCATCGGCTGGCACCGAAATCGAAAATATCTATAATATGGTAGATATTAAAAGTTGACAGGAACGCTTTTTTTTCGTGCAAAGAATTGGTATTACCATTTACCGGGGAAAAGAAACTAGTATTCTTGCCACTATTTAAGGCGAACATGTCTTCTAGAGTACCGAAAATATCTAAGTTAAATCTACTTTTGTCTTTTTAACAAAAAAAAAAAAAACTATTTACTATGTATAAAGAACTTACCGAGCATGTGTAAAGTGATTATGACAGTGGAAGAAGCAAGATTGATGTATATTGAATAGTATATATGTAAAAAAATGCAAATTTAAAACAAAACAATGAACCACATTAAAAATAATACTAAAAGTAAATTTGTTTTATGAAATAACTAAGGTCCGAATCTAATGCGAAATTTTTGCGAAACAAATAATTTAATGAACGTAATACAAAGCTTCATTCATTGCATTGTTCACCATTATAATACACATCAGTTTTAGAGCAATTCGTATTTAAACTACTCGTATTATTGTGCCATTCGCATTTCCTTCCTATCCATTTTTCCTAGAATTAACAAGTCTTCGTCTTTGACTTATGCAATAACATGACTAAGAATAAAATTATCAATAAGTTTGTAAAATATTAGTCTCCCACAAAAATAACATAATGTACAGAATTAATAATTATAAATGAATTCTAATAATACCTATTATAAACTTTGTGAGTTAGTGGGCGTGTTTGTTATTTCGTATTTCGTCAAACTGTATCAGTTCATCGGATTTCAATCAAACAAGAATTACAATATATTTTTTCGACTATAATTTTGACGGGAAATCTGGCATGAATTTAGATTGTTGTTATAATATGTTACATATTTTTGGCTTAAAGGAGGTATTCGAATAAGTTGCTTTTTTTACAATTATTTTGTGCCGATTTTAATAATTGCTTTTTAAATAAATATTACTATTTAATAAATATGTAATACTTCAAGAGCTATCCTGTTAATTTAAAAAAAAACACTCACTAACTCCTAACTCCTAGGGATGAAAATTATTTCATCCCTAGGAGATTAAGAAGGATTTAATTACTTCTAAATTGACTCTGAAGTTGGTACCTTTTTGATTTTAGAAAGTATTTATCGACTTATCTGTCACAAAAAGAAAACAAAATACTAGGTATAAATAAATTGGTACCTAACATATTGATAATACATAATTTTATACCAACACGTTTATAAGCTGTTACCAAAAATCCTCTATACAGCTTACCCGATTTTAATTTTATGTAAATCCGCCTCTATAAATTAATCCAATCAATTCATATTTATGTAAAATAATCACAGTAACCGTTAATAATTCAGAAATTATTCAATGCAATAACAAGTTTATTAAGATTTGTTATTGCTAGTTCTAAGTTTTTATTACATGCCAGCTTTTGCCTGCAGCTCCGCTCATGTTTATTTAAATATAATTGCTTTATTTATTTATGTGTAATTTTTCGCTCCTAAACATCGTAGCGTGTCAGATGTTCGATAGCCTATAACCTCCCTCAATAAAAAGGCTATAAAATGTTTGACTGTTAGTTCCAGAGATTAGTGAGGTCAAACAAACAAAAAAAAAACAAAAAAAAAACAAAGTACTTCTGATTCGTAGGATACATAGAAATATTCCATCTTTTTTTGCTTAAGCTTTTGTCTTAAGTTTTTTTTCATTTCATATAAAATTTGTTACTAATATACTGGTTTATATTATTTATCATGTAATATAGAAAAAATGTAAGTCAATGGGGTACTTAATATTATTATTAGGTTTCGTCAAAACTGCAAACGTATAAAGATTTATAAAATACTTTAAAAAAAAAAAAAAAAAACCTGTCTGATGTAGATATGTCCAGTTGTATTGTTGTATACATATATTCCTACGTAATATACAAACATATTGTGCGTAAGTGCTTATACGGCTAATAAAATGTACATGTAAATCTCGCTATCTATCGTATATTGACAGTACTATATTAGAGCTATCTGCGGTAGAGCGAACTGTTCATCTCATTAAAGTTTCATCACAATGGGACGAATGGTATAGAAATATATACGTTACAAACAGGCACATAGACATACAACAACAAACACGTATTTTTTATATAGATAAATAATATTTGTCACAGATTCGGAGCTACTTATCGAACGTGTGGAAAAACGGCATGCTGGCATCGTGCAATGCTTCGCTTGCAACTCTCTAGGCTGCGCGTACGACGCAGCTCTACTTGTCGTGGTTCCTATGCAGATATCTCAGGATCAGGTATATATAACTTTTTCAAAACTTTTAGCTCACTTTTAGAATGATTTGTATATATTATATAAGTATAATTTTAAGTATATTTTTAACATTGTATGTTTTGTTAATCAATGAAAAATGTGCGTGTTCAATTAAATTATTTTGTAACTGAGACTATTATTTATTTTTTTAAACAAATACGTAACCAAACGTAGTTAATGTTTCACATATACTTCTATTTTTTTTCTTTATCTCGATGACACGAAATGAAACGGAAATGCGGCACTAAAAAGAGACAAACATATAAATATATAGGATTAAGCTTGTGAGAGAATGAGATAGAATACATTGCCATGTTGCCATGGTAACCGTTGTCATTGTCTGACAAATATATAATATTATATTCTTTCAGTATATTATATTCTATAAATATATGATTGTAATATGCCTAATATGCTTTATTTAATTATTTGAGAAAGAATACACTACACAGGAAGTGAAAAATAATAAAATTTATTACTGAATAGTATGTAATGAATATTGTCAAATAAAATGTAAAATAACTTTTAAACTTGGTCAAAATATTATAAAATAATTAACCTTATAATTATCCTACTCCTGATACACTATATTCATCTTATTCTCTCGTAGGTTACTTTTCTGAAGTTTCACTTTAACCATGTGTGAATTGCACACACACGCACTTTTTTTATTTCATTTTGGTTCCAAAATGAAAAATATATTTTTTTTAATAAATTTTCCTGTAAGCACATTCTCTTACTTTGTCTATAATAATAACTACAGGATTACTCGGCCGAAACACCAAAGACGCAACACATTTCTTCGCAACCACCTAAGCGGCATAGCAAGAAAAATCCTAGAAAAAATAAAGGTAACGTAATATAATGTATTTTTTATACGAACTAACTACATTTTTATACGAAAAAAATACTGGATATTTAATACGAATGACATAAAAAATACAGATAAATTCTTCCTTTTTTTTCTAAAGGACAGAACGACAAAGACAAAACTGTTCAGTAGATATTTCTTCTCTGTTTGTCAACCGATATTCTATTTTTTGATTATCATCTGGTAGGTAGCAATTGACGAGTTATCAATAAAAAAAAAATTAAACACTTTTTTTATATAGATAGTTAATTCATATATTGTTTCTTCAAACCCAAGCTTAGTGTCGAAGGTCGATCACTAGGCGAACGATAGTGAAATTAAGCAGACGAATAAAATACTGCCGTCATTATAAAGAAGGCCCTAACTAGCAATTTGGTCAAAAATGTCTTAAATGCAGATTCGGAATTAGCAAAAAAAAGCAACTTGATAGTCTTACCCATAAAGCTAAGTCTTATGCGAGTATCTTAGCTTTATGAGTAAGACGAAAATGGTTATGGTATTTCCATACCATAACCATTTTTGTCGTAACTACGTCAAAACTACGTCAACGTACTAAGACAAAACTTAAAATATCTCGAAATCAACTTTGAGGAAGTTACGGTCTTCTTTTATTTTATGATGAATTTTAAAATTGAATATTTCAATGTAACGTAACTGTTGTATGCAATTTATACATATAAGCACATATTAATTAATTTCGAGACCTAGTAAAAAGAGAGGACTTATTACTTTTACACTTAAAATAAGTATCCTTTTTTAAAGTCATCCTTGTTTTAGTGCTCATTCCTAATATTTTTTAGCGGTTTTAATACCTCCATCTCGACCAAATGTAACGAGATTATCAGATGAGAGCGTCATGGTGTCCTGGTCTCATGACAACCACGGTCTTCCCATACAATTCTTTAAGGTAAGTTTTATTTATATGTAATATTTACGCGCTTCTGTTATGTATGTTTACTTTTTTGGTATTTCAATGTAAGGTAGACATTGAAAAACACACATTTTACCACTATATGATCTTATTCTTTGTGCAAGAATTGAACTCGTTACCTACTGCTGGTACCGTCCTTACTTTTGACTCTACCGCAGATACTTTAAACTTAAAATGAATTTCTTGTAAGCTTCACGATTATCATTCAATACTAGGGTTTAGGATATGATATATCCCAAGAAATCAAAGTGCATATGAGAGATAACCATTAGAACTTGTATAAATTATCTTATAAACTTTTGACTCATGATTATTATATGACTATTTTTCTTTTTTGAGTTTAGCATGGGCGATGTCAGTGGCTTTGTTAAAATTGTATAAAACTACGAAACGATACAATAATATAGCATAATTCTATATTTTTTCTAAATACATATGTATTTTAAATAATCCCATTACTAATATAATTTTTAATTAAAAGACAATATGTACATATTTTAACCTATTTATAGAATCCATACGAATTGTGTGGCATGAAAATAAATATTCGTATATTCGAAATACTATGAAATGCGGTCAGCTCCATTTATGAATTGCAATATGAGTATCAAATAGTTTAAATTCGCAAAATGCTTGAATATTTCATTTCGTTTTGCAGGTTCAGTACAGGGAAGTGACAAATTCACCAAACACTCAATGGCAAACTGAAAACTACGATATCCCCGCCCACATACATTCGTTTGAGATTGACGGACTTGTTCCTGACAAATATTACAAGTAAATATCATATTACAATGTGTTACATATTCGTGTATTGCTCATAGTTAAAAGGTAAAAGCAAAAATTCTGACATACTTAGTTGTTTTATAGAAAGTCTTCATTACTTTAAATTATTTTGAGAGACTAGTTTTTGCCCTTGGCTCCACTCGTGTATAAGGTAAGTCATTAAAAGATAGAGTATGTATTGATGCAAGATGTAAGCTATTTCCACTTAGAGTTTCACTCAAATTCTTTCAAATTAACATTAATGCTAATCTATTATTACGGCTTTATAAAATCTCTACACATGCGCCATACACAGACATAAAATACTATTAATGATATTAAAAAAAAAACATTAAAAATAAGTATACTTTTATAATTGCCTTCGTCCACGGACAAACTGTACAAAATGAATGTTATAAACTTTATTATATCTAACATATTTTAATTACATTTATTTCGCATACATTTTACCTATATAGATTTTTATTATATTAATTACGTATTAAATTATTTTTTATTTTATCACCAGAGAATTTAACTCACTTAAAAAGTAGTTTTATTCATGAATATTTTTTTATTTGTTTGAACTCCCAATTATTTGTTCAATGGTTTGGTGCTAAATATTTTGTTATCAATTTTAGTTTAATTTGGGCTTAATAAGAAAATTTAATTACAATCCAATGTTTGTTGAAACCGCAATTTTGAAAGTAAATAGATTTATTTTCAAACTGAGATACAAAGCTATTTGTATCGATAATCAAATATCCGTTCTATTCTATTAGAACCACCGCACATTATAGGTTTGTTTCCGCTTATAGTTTGGTTAGTTTACAAATTGGTGCATCGAATGACATGAACAAAATATAAAATAGTGTTTATAAGAATAATTAATTTTCATTTCAAAAAAAATTAAACAAACGACCCAAAGTGGCTTCGTCTAGGTCTGAAGACATACAGATATAATAATATAGATGCCACTATCACTAGCTATGCATTCAAAGGCCATGTAAGCTAAATTTAACTTCAATTAAGAAGTTAATTAAATATTGTTTTATATTATTTATTATTGAAACAAAAATTAGAAAAACGAAATGTGTTTTAAGTAAAACAAAAAGTCACTAACCTATAAAATATAATACCCTTTGAAGTAAACTTATAAGAATGTTATTCAACCTAATAATAAAGGCAGCATGATAAGTAATGGAATACTTTAATGTATACGATACACCATACTTTACAAAAATATCTTAACATGTTAAGTATCTCAACGGTTATTTAGTAGTGATGGAACGAATGGTCGATTTTTCACATTCGCGAATGCGAATGAATATTCATCTCCAATATTCACGAATACGAATGCGAAGGCGAATGTTGACTTTCAAATAAAGCACGCGCAAAATGTTCAGAAAGAAACAGACAGATTTGACTTTTCGTGTTAAGTTAACGAACAAAATTGTCGAGCATAGCCGAGCCGATACAGGTTGAATGAACGAAGTTAGTCACACAAAGTTAATTCGAAAAGATTGTTGTGATTTGAGGTTTTTAGTATTATTGCATTTGTCAAATTTTACTAATACCTGGTCAAATTGACAAAAAACATGAGTAAAGCACAGTTTATTACTATCCCATATCCGTTTATTTCATTTATAATTTCCGTTTCTTTTGTAAAATACATTCGCTAAACGTTCGCACCGTTTCTTGCGAATACGAAAATTGCTTTTTTGTGTTTGTTTGTAATGGATAAACTCAAAATCTGTTGAACCGATTAAGATGAAATTTGGTATGAAGATAGATTGAGACCCTGGGAAGGTTATAGAATAGTTTTACTCGAGCGAAGTGAAGATGAGTCGCTAGTTCTTTATAGAATAACAATTATAACAAACTTCCCGACACGCAACTGACAACATTCTCTTATACTACAATATTGTATAATCTAAAAATGAACGTTAAAGTTTCACAAAATACAAATATAATTTGCTCATATTTGAATTACCCGAATATATCTATAATTATGCGGTGTATTTAACTACAAAATATGTAATTAAATCATATTGTTAAAATATTTGTGTGCTTAATAACTTTTTTAATTACTATAATCGTAATATAAATTGTTAACAGATTTACTACTAATACACTTTCTGGGCCCGCAATAAATGTTTATTGACTTTTATAAATTACGTAATATTAAGGAATGAATAAAATTTAAATATTAAGTTTTAATTCGAATAGTAATTTTACTAAACAACTTGAACTATTTTCGTTAACATATTTTTATATTTGTTGTATGAATATGAAAATTAACTTTCATATATTTGCATAGTTGTCACTTTTGTCAGTAAATAATACATACATCTTCTTAATAAAATACTAACACTGAACACTCGACAGACTAAATGCCACAAAAATTATAAGTTTTAAAAATTGGCATAAGTATGAACTTATTCGGTGTTAAAAACAAGTGCAAATAGTGCGATATCTAAGTAATCATATTATAATTTCTTAGAAGTATAATGAAGTGTTATTTCAATTAGCTTTTATTTATTAAAATATCTTAAATTATACAATTTGTTTTAGATTCCGTATAGCAGCCGTATATTCCAACCAAGATAACAAGTTAGGTAGAAGTAGTAGCAAGTTCTTCTTACAAAAAGGAGGTTTCCAAAGTCCTCGGGCGCCGGTCCTCGACAAAGCTACAGCGTTGTCACCACACAGCGTACAGATTAATTGGACGGTAAGAATGGGAACAATATTTAATACATTTAACCGACTTAAAAGTACTTAAAGGGGTGTATTTTCTGTGTATGTATATATCACATTACGTGATGTGTTGAAACGCGCATGTAAATTTTGAACTGATTTTCATATTAATTTTTGTTTAATATGTTGTCTCATATTAAATACGTTTTAAATGATAATGAAGTCAGTGAGTATGTATTACTCAAAAATTATTATTTACTTAATTATAATATAAATGCGAAAATGTAAACACATTTTGTGATTTTTTTTGTCTATTTGATTGGTAAGTCTTTTACGAAGATGAATTTCAGCATGAATAAATAATATGGTATAAGTCAGAAAATGAATGTCTTTTTGTCCCGATGTATCATTGCATAGTTGTTACAGTGCGAAGAACTAACAAACATGCGTACTCACAAATTAATATCACACATTTTCTTTTACATAGTTATTTATAAATGCGAAAAATGTTAATTAGTAAATTAGTATGATAGGGTTTTTAGACGAAGAGAACATAGTGACATCTATATATCTTCTAGTTTTACTTTGGTCCGTAAAATTTTTGTTTACTAGCGGCACACCCTCGTTTCGCTCGGGTTCGCCTCTAGGAATACAAGAACAAAACTATCCCACGGTAACCGTAAATTTTTCCGGATAAAAGTTGCCTATATGTCATTCCAGACTATAATCTATCTCTGTGCCAAATTTCATCCAGATCCTTTCAGCCGTTCTGGCGTGAAAGAGTAACAAACATACATCCATACTCACAAACTTTTACATTTATAATATTAGTATAGATTTCATATTATTAAAAGCTCGTGTGACTGTATTGTGTAAAGCGCATCAAATTGTAATTAAATATTAAATTAGGTTTAAATCTCATTATCTCACATAATGTATTTAAAATAATTCTGATTGGGGCATGATGCGTATTTAAATTTTGTAAGTGAGAAAATTAAACAACCATGATATCCGATTATTGTTAATATGGGACGAATATTTGATTTTTCTGTGCACTGTTATTGCAAGCTTAGCTTTGCGTAAAGCTAATAATAATAATCTAAACAATTATTTTTTAAGTTATTTGTTATTGTTAGTGTTTCGTACATATACATATGTATGTATATTCGATAAAAATCGGTACCTTTATTAGACTACTCCCATACTTATCCGGTTGTTATTGTGTAATTTATCTTTTCTCGCTTATAATAAAGGGGTTTTAATCTATACTAATATTATAAAGAGGTAAAGATTGTGAGTTTGTGAGTTTGAACCGACGCTGAACCGATTTAGATGAAATTTGGTAAGAAGATAGTTTAAGACCCTGGAACTAAATAAATAAATATGTTGGGATACCAGATAGTTGATACACTACACATATATAACTTTAAATACATACATATTATAAACATAAATATCCATAACTGGAATACAAACATTCGTGTTCATCACACAAATGAATGCCCCCAGCGGGACTTGAACCCGCGACCGCTACAGCAAGTAGGGTCACTACAAATTGAGCCAAACGTGTTATCAAAAGATAAGGAAAGGATATAGGATACTTTTTATCCCGGAAATCATCCCTTAAGAGAGTGAAAATGGGAATGAAAGTTTGTTTGGGGAATCAAGCTAGGGATGAACCCGAGCAAAGCGAGGGTGACTCGCTAGTTCATTATAAAAGAGAGATAACGTCTAGAACTACTATAACCATCCAAAGAACTATTTTTAAGTGAAAGTTATATCTATATAGCTAGCATATTTCTTTCAGGTATAAGACACAATAAATTATTTAATCTAAAATATTTACAAATACAGTGGTCAAGTCATGGTGGTGTAGAAGCGGAGGGTTTCTACGTATACTACCGCGCGGTTTCATCTGCGGGTGCGTACGAGAAGGTGACAACGCGTGGGCACGCGCGAAGCCTCGTCCTACCCCATTTATCCCCCGACACGGCGTACGAAGTGAAGATACAGGCGTATAGTGCGCAAGCGCCGTCTGACTTTAGTGCTATTTTGGTAAGTGTAATCGAATTAATAATTAATAAATATATTGTTAAGAAAGTCGTAGCTTAATAACGCGTTCGCTGGGAAATGTCTAAGTGAAGTGAGATTATCCCGTATTTTCTCTGTATATCCTTATATGCAAATCATTTTCAATATAACTGTCATTTGTCTCACTGTGAAGAGATATATTGCGTAGAATTCAACTATGTTTTAGAGAACCTAACTACATATGCATGTAGTTATCATAAGACATGTAAGTAAGTGCCAGCGTGCTGGACTATGGCTCGATCTTTCCTTGTATTGACTTGTTCCCAGCCATGGCAGATAAAAGTGGCTGAATTAAGATTTATATTAATAAATAATGTTTAAATAAAGAAAGTTTAAATTTGCATGAGTAAGACAGTCAATTAATATGCTCGTTTCTTTTTTGTAAGGTGAAAATATAATATTATGTTTAAGGAGTAAATGTAAGTAAATTGTACGGCAAAGCTTTGCCTCAGCTTTGGTAGAAGTTTGTTATTTAATCGACTTAATAAACTATTTTTGTTAAATATTTGGGTGTTTTTTACCAAAAATAAATATTTTTCATAGAAAAATATTTTAAAATATCGATTAATAAGACAATGCTAAAGCAATAAGCATTATATTAATATCGATATCACTTAAAACTCAATATAATGTTTATTAATAATCAATAATCAATAATCATGTAATTGTATCATTATACATTCTAATCTAATCAGTTATTACGAATTACTTGTAAATTAACACAAGGACCATATATTGGGAATAATTCAATAATTTATCGATTAAGTCACATATCTTGTTGGTTAATTTACAGATATTCACGAGTGGTTTTACTCATGCTCTAAGCGAGATATTCCTGCTTTTATCAAGTTTATAATAAGCTTCCAACTTAATTATCTGGATATATATAATGTGGTATCCATATTATACCGTCATCATCTTTAGTGGTCAATCTTGTGGGTGTTATTAGGGCTCAATACGGGCATAAAATAAAGTATTCAATGCTCAATACAATAAAACGACGGAAATCACAATGCTATACATTTGAAAAGATAATTTTAATAGTTTAATTGAGCAGCGGGTATTCGACGCCAATCTGACTTCCATTTACAATATTAAACACTCTCCATGATCCGTCATGATCAACCAACGTCACCATTCCACATATCTTCAAGGAATGACACGATGGCGCCTCGACCCAGCCCGAGACGTCGCCTCGGCTCTTAATTTGATTTTGATTTGATGTAACATAGCATAGGGACTTTAAAAAATAATAAGGTTTTATATTTTAGCAGAAAAATAAAAACCGACTTCCCGGCACTAAAATGTAAAAAATAACTAAATGGAGGTTTTCATTTAGAATAGATACCTAATCAGATATTTTCGAAGTCGATGCCTGCCGATGCAAAGCAAATCCAATATATTTCGATACGTAAAATACATATTTACCTATCAGATATTAATATCTTAAAATATTGCAGGCTGGCACCGACTTCGAAAATATCTGATTAAGTTTAAAGTTTTTATTTTTCCATTTTTAGTGTAGATGTAATAAGCAGGTAATTTGTAAGAAGAAAGTTTTTAATAACATATTCGATTAAACAATTTATTTAAAAAAATATATTTATTGTTGATTTTTTTTAAAACACCGATTTCGATAAAATTTATATGGGACCACCTGGAAAGTATATACCCTTTGGAACAAAAAAAATCCAAATCGGTTCGGCGTCTTCGAGTAATCGGTGAACTACATTAAAAAAATCCGACGAATTGAGAACCTCCTCCTTTTTGGAAGTCGGTTAAGAATGTAAATAAATCCTCCTTCGACATATATATCTATATATATATATATATATATCTATATATATATATATATATATATAATTTTTAAATTGATTTTATTGGATTCATTTGTAATTAATTAATATTATGTCATCATAACTTAAGAGTCAATTAACTCAGTTGTGTCTGTCGTATCGATATGGATTCGGAATATGTGGTGAGCAATTTGTAAGTCAAATGCGAATTATTATACAATATTTCGGTATCATCGAGCAGGAGGTGGATAATAGAATCCAATCGCTACTAGTAAAAGCATCGACTTTAGGCTTAAATGACTTATTTAAACGTAAAAAAATATAAACTTCTGCAATTCGTTATATAAAATACAAGCAGAACCCGCGACTTCGCACGCCCTAAAACTACAAAAACAAACTCTTAAAAGGTAGGTTTCATACAAACTTTTATCCCCTATTTTACCCTCTTATGGGATGATGGGATGAATTTCAAAAAATGCTGAAACACGTATTTATTTAATTATATTGAAGAGCATTAATACCAAGTTTCAAGTAATTCTGATCATAAATAATTCTTGGGTTGTATCATAACGTGGTTTTCTGTGGGAGTGAGAAAATCTCCCGCGATAAAAAGTAGCCTATGTCACTTTCCAGCCCTCTAACTATCTCCACACAAAAAGTCACGCCAAGCCGTCACTCTGTTTCGACGTGAAAGAAAGATAAGCAAACAAAACACTTTCACATTTATATTATGAGTATGGATTTGATTGGTTGTAGCGTAGAATACCGATATTGCAGAAAATTGTAAAAGTCATTATTCATTTCTAAGATCGTATAATTATTTTTATAAATTAAACTCAAAATATATGTTATTTAAATAGGATTTAACAAGCACTTTTTTAATCAATACAATTACATATATTTTATTTAAATAATATCAGCATTGCAAATTCGTAAGTCAATGTAGGCTCGGAGTCTGTGATATTGCTTGCTCAATTTGATTAGGTAATAAAAACTTTGATTGCTTTTCGGACTTATATTAAAAATGTGAAACTATTTTGATGGGAATTGTATAGATAAGAGACGATTTTGTTTGTGACAATGCATCAATACTCATGGGATCGACTTCGGAATATGTTAAACAGAAATAGACGGACGTAAGCTCTACAGCCTCATATAGGTTAAAGTTAGGATGCCAATCTTTATCAAAATAGATTATATTGAATATAATACTTTCTTATATTTACTCATTTTAAATAAAACTATCTTTTCGAATTTTTTCGCGGATTTATTTTGATTTTTGGATAGCTTTAAAGCACTCGAAACGTCGGTAACCAAAAATCTTAATAAATCCGCGAAAAAAACTGAAAAGATAGTTTTATTTAGATTGTATAGCTTTTATGTTGTTCAAAAGTTAGCATGGTAATATTCAGGTTGTCCCATAAGAATAATTTGGATATAGCGTAGCATCCACGTGTGTTTTATGACTACTTTAGAAATTAACATTTAAAGATTCATGCTTGTAGCCTGCCACTAAAGTAAAAATGTCGCAGAACTTTCAAATTGAGAAAAAATATGTTAAAAACAGAATATTATAAGGTTTTACATTAAATACGTAAATAAATATTGTTTTAATACTTCAATACGATCATATAAAATTATATAAAATGTTCTAGACTCTTCAAAGATCTCTCTATTTCTCAAATGTGGTAAAATCAATATATTTTTTAACCGATTTCCAAAAAGGAGGAGGTTCCCTATTCGTCGTAATTTTTTTTTATGTATGTTTATCGATTACTCGAAGAGCCTTAACCGACAATATTTTAAGATATGAATATCTAATAGGTAAATATGTATTTTACGTATCGAAATATATTGGATTTGCTTTGCATCGGCAGGCATCGACTTCGAAAATATCTGATTAGGTATCTATTCTAAATGAAAACCTTCGTTTAGTTATTTTTTACATTTTAGTGCCTGGAAGTCGTTTTTTTTAGTTTTTATTTAATATGTGTACAAAAATATATAATTAATCTAAACACATTGTAGACAACATTCATATATTTGCCATATATGCCACGCCACAACTTTGGCAGAAATTAGCTAAAAATGAAAGCTAAATATTATTTACCGTCTATTACTATTCGGCAAATAGAAAACTAAAACTATAATATGGAAATCACATATATAATTTTTATTCAGATGACGATAAAAAAATGTCGTCGTATCTCAACTAAGAGGCTACATTTTGTTAAAATAAAAAATTATAAAAGCATTAATTTCCATGATAAATTACGTTTATCTATTAGCAATTATATAATGATAATCCAATAAGTGGATGGTAAAATACTCCAACAGCTACTAATAAAACCTTGTTTGAGCTCATTAATTAATTCATTTTCTCGAATCTCATACATGCCATATTATTTTTTAAACTGCAATTATTACACGCAGATGGCTAAAACTCAACGGGCACTGAACACGGCGAGTACAAGTACAGAAGCGTCAGCGAAAGAAGAGCGGGGGTCGTCACCGACGCTGGTGACAGCGGGCGGTGCGGCCGGTGCGGCCTTGCTACTGGTACTCATCGTGACGTTGCTGTTATGTCGCCGTGCTAAGAGGCCTCCTGCTGGCAGTAAGTCCTTACATAAAGTTGTTATTTTTTTAGATCTCTAAAATACAGGATAACTATATTTTTCGATAGGAAGGAATGAAACGAATGCAAAATACTGGAGATTTCTGGAGAAATACATACTTTCACTGTTCGTCTGAGATAGCTTTCAGAATGCAAGAGACTTCACTTCTCATCAAGCAAAGTTATTACATTTTTTTAATTTTTATCAATGCTTTGGACTGATTTTTCAACTAATTAAATAAAACATACTCGTACATTGGTATATTGCAAAACGTTACAAAAGTACTCTGGATGCTAGCTTCGAAGATGGATTTTGAATGAAAAGTTGGAATGAAGACTAATTTAACTATCAAATATAACAAACAAAACAAGAACTGTAAATTCCTATTTCGGAAATTTCTATCCACGGTTATACGATTACACTTGTAATTTTCCAATTTAACTAAAGCCGAAGTGTTAAAGCTATGTTATCGCCGCGACCGTGCGCGGCTAATTAGGCACTTCACAGAGCACTCCTGGCACTGTAGTGAGCCCTAACTGCACGAAAACGTTCATAGTCCTCGCAAAACGTGGGCAAAAATAAACATTTCACTCGCGCCATGTCGTTGGCTAGCACGAAACTTTTCTTGTGGTTCCCCATTTGTAAACATTACCAACTAAATGCTAATAAAAATATAACTTTCTGTGGATTGTTGCTTGTTCTAGCTAGGATTGTTTGCTTGAGATAAAAGCTGTGATCATAGCGCGAACTTCCAGAGCTATTCGCATTGTTACTGAGAAAATTAGACCGGTAGTTCAGTCGGCGAAAGTTCGCCTTTCGAGGTACACAGCATCACATTATATGGAAACTTGTAGTGACTCTCAAGAAGAAATATGTAGTTAAGTTTAGTTTGAACAATTGTTTTTATTTAAACATGTAGTAGATTATTCTTTTAAGAATTTGCTTACTTTAATTTGTATTACAAAGATTTTTTTTTACTTATTGACATTGTTTTTGTCATTTTTTATCTAAATCGAAAGTAATTGAACAGAATAAAGCCGCTTAAAGAAATGTTTTAAAATTGGAAAAGTGAAGCCGAACCTAATAAATTAAAAATTTGTTTGCTGTTCCACATAAAAAATCTGTAGACTCTACGCAACCATTCACCGTAAGTTTATTAGCGTTTCAATTGGATTTTGTACGTATCTGTTGTATCCGATCCATAACTCTGCCGCTTAAACGCTGTAAATCACTTTACGCGCCCAAAGCTTTTGTGTCAATTATTAATCTCCCGCCATATTGGAATTTCATAACCGGTAGAGCGAACGAATGAATGAATAAAGAAACGACCGACGCCGGGAGTAATAAACGTCCGGAAGAACGAATGTGTATCGATAAACGAACAATTGGACGGTAACAAACGAACGTGTTTTATCTACGTTCAAGTGTTATGAGATTTTCATTCTTCCGAAAAATTTGTGTACGTTCACTTTAGCATTTAATTTGCCTTATAAAATAAAATTCTTTTAAAAACAACGTTGTATTTACTGTAACAGATCTTCACTGTTTGACGCAAAAATGATTACATTCGATTGTCGCTGTTAATTTGTTTGGATATTATATAATGTTTGTGCAGACATATTTATCGATAGCCTGTCAATAGTGTTGCAATTGGATGGTAAACATGTAAGCGCTTATTGAGTTAGTTCTGGTTTCATATGAAAATATCTGACCAATTTGGAATCAAACTTTAACTAGTATTGAAATAATTTAGTATAATATTTAATTTATTTTTTAATTATAAATTCGAAATTGCTACAGTATTAATGTTGTTTCTAAAAGAGTGAAATTAAGTAAAATGGCGCTATTTTTATTTTTAGGGTTCCGCAATTGAAGGGTGTGCTCAGGATCTTATTACAAAATGTACTGACAGGTCTATTTCAAAGCGCTGTATATTGTTAACCGTTATAGGAAATAGGTTGATGAATTATTACAGAAGATGTGCTATGTTGTGATGTTAGATAGTGAGTGAGTATATCTCGCTTTAGATCAATGTTTAAATCATTATTTAATTATGAATGCGAAATTTTTTATGTGTGTGCATGTTTGTTATTCCTTCATGTTAAAATGGCTGGACGGATTTGGATTAAATTTTACATACAGATAGACTAATCTGGAATACCAAATATGTACAATGCACATAGACTACTATTAGTCACGTAGGGGCGCACCCGAGCAATTCAACCACACAAAATTGCTTGTTGATATAATGTTTGGCTTGTAGGACACGTTTGGCTCAGTTTGTAGTGACCCTACTCGCTGTGCCAGCGGTAGCGGGTTCGAGTCCCGCTTGGGGCATTCATTTGTGTGATAAGCACGAATGTTTGTACTCTAGTCATGGGTATTTATATTTATAATATGTATGTATTTAACGTTATAAATATGTAGTGTATCAACTATCTGGTATCCATAACACAGGCATCCTGGCTTACCATGGAATTAGATGGTGCTGTGTGTTAATGTCCCAACATATTTTTTTTTATATTTATGTATATGGGTCTCAAAGTGATACTATAGGATTTTGTTGATCAAGAATCAAGATATGCAAATATTAATACTCTTGGAAATTTTATGTGTGACATTGTAAAAATATCAAATATCTGCCATAAAGCTAACCAAAATAGATGCTATAAAGTGTCAAGTATCGAGCAATGAGGGCAACGATTTATAGGCGACGATATCGCTCTTGTAGCTATTGACCTCTCACGCTTCACTTCTTTTGTTTAGTGTTCGCGACTCGCTCATTCAGTTTCGAGCCATTTCAAGCGAGTCTTGCTCCGTTCCAGTTTCTCTTGAATATAGTTTGTGATTTTGTTTCGAAATAAATACAGTTAAGGAATAGAAGCGACACTAATTAGAACTATAATAATTATATGATGTTGAGCGAAAACATTATAGTAAATAGTTTTCTTGAAATAAAAGTTTTCTTGAAGGAAATATTCTACAAAGATACTATAAAGCAATAAGGAAAGTTTTTCAATTTATATGAATGAAAATCTGGCAGCTTACTAGTTCTTTAGGAAGATAAAACCTCGATGTTCAAATTTTGTAGCACTAGTCAAACAAATCTTAAGTTAAACAGTAGGTACGATGAACTATAATTTCTTGGTTTGCTTTCTGAACTTTGGAATCAGTTTAGTCTTGATTTGTTTTAGTTTTGAAATAGTTACGAATATTAAATTTTGTATGCTGTATTAAAAGCTTGTTTTATTAAAAGGGTTCTTATAATTACATATAGATATGTATTATATACATATATTATATATATATATATATATATATATATATATATATATATATATATATATATATATATTTGGATGAAACTATAATTTGTTTATAATCTTGCACTTTCCCTTATCGATTAGGCAAAAAGAACACGATGACTCTTGATACTTTACTTCAGCTAGTATCGATTTAATGTATATGTGTATTAAAAAACGCCTTGGTTGATTTTATATACACTAAGGCATATTATATGTATATTCTTTATGTTAACAAAATTCGCTCAACGCGAGAAGCAAAGCAACCTCTCGCCCAATATTTTTTTGCTTTGATTTTAAACAGACTGTCAAGTCTTATTACTTGTTAATGTTTACTGTACACTGGATTAATAATATTTAAGTGTTAATCATTTTTATTTTAAGATACTATGATTTTAATTATTAAAATTGTATTTTGCGTTATACTGTTCTAGTTAAATATTATAGAGAATCTTTATAATTTTCATTCAATCTTAAGAAGTGTATCTAATATTAGTATCTTAGCTCATATAATTATTTATTTTCAGAGGAGAAAGGATCACCTGAGGGCGGCGCCAATGGATACCTGCCGGCCAAAGTGCCCATCACCATTACAGCTAACCCTATGCACGGAGAGGTACGAAATACAAACCTTTTCAGTCTGATGTTGAACAATCATATTTTTTTTACAAATTCAAGTATTTTTTCGTTATTACATTTATATAATGATATATATTTGTTATATCTCATTCATACACACACATACACAAATAAATACATAATATTGCCTTTTCATTTTTTATTTTTTTATCCTACTAAGGATCTTGCATCTTATTGTAATGTTTGTTTATTAAATGACATTGACCCCTAAGATACGGGATTGTTCTAGTTTATGGTGCCAATATTACCACAGTGTTGTAAAAATATGGTTTTGAAAATATTTATTTGCTTTTTGTTTTAGTTAGCGGATTCACTCGCATTTTTTTAAATTTAATTCGCAACTACCCGACAACCTTTGGGACTGCGGGAGTTCAAACTATAACGTTGTTTAAAATAAAAGTTAGATATGATTTTTAGTTAGTGCTGCATTATTTCGAGACACATGGATACAGCAAAACTAACTTTATTATGAAAACTAATAATTAATACGGACAATATATTTGATAAAATTTCTTTTTTACCCCCGACGCAAAAAGAGGGGTGTTATAAGTTAGACGTACATGTCTGTCTGTCTGTGTGTATATCTGTCTGTGGCATCGTAGCTCTCAAACGGATGGATAGATTTTTATGCGGTTTTTTTTTCATTTAAAAGCCAGTTTCCTTGCAGTGGTTCTTAGCTATGTTTGGTTAATATGGGTCCAGCAGTGTTAGAATATCAGCTTCTTTCCAAAATGATGTAAGGCATTTTGGCGTATGATTACTCGATGAAGTGCTTCACGCGTGCCATTGTAATCGTTAAATGACAATTAATTTGCTTAGAGGGTATTTAAATTTTTTAATTTATAATGTTATTATCTTGTTGTATAATAATAATGTTTTCAACGTCTATGTTTCTAGCGAAACCTGTCTAAGTACTAATACATTACGGCTACCTTCATTTGTAGCATACACATGCGCAAAGGTGTGAGGCTTAGACCCCTATGTAATGGAGACATCTAATATTAACGTTAAAGTACCTAGAAATATCTCCTTTCGAGTAAAATAATAAAGAATTAAGTATCTTGCTTCTATAAATGCCTGCTTCTAGTTAAAAAGTGCTTATTTTATAACTGTCTTCTTCTATAATGTCGTAGTGTAAAGGTAACTTGCGATGTGTTAATGAAATTTGATCCTGCCAATCATTTAATTTTCAATTTCTGTTTTCTCTAGAAGATCGAGCGTGGTAAATGTAAATTTTGCTAATAATTTGCTTATACCTACAATGTTTGTAGATAATAATTAGTTTCATATATTTTGTAATAATTTAAGGCCCTTGAATTTCTAATTTGCTATCATTTTGTTATGTTTCTTGATTCCTATGTTATTTTTGATTAATTATTATTAATACGTTGCTACGCGTGTTTAAAATGTCGGATTTAAATGAAAATTAAATAAAATCGACTTAAACCCATTGAAAAAATAAACTTTGTTCATAATAATAATAAACAAACTAACATAAAAGTGAAGTAAATTCTGTTTTAGGTTATAATTACAAATATATGTATCAATATTTCATGTAGTCTATGTATGTAGGGAGGTGATGGAGGCGTAGAGATGTCATTCCTTCACAACAATAACGGCAATGCGACGAGCAGCGATGACAACCTGCCTGCAAGAAAGAACAGACAATATGTGTGATTATTATATAGGACACGACTTATGTCCTTGTGATCAAATATGAACTCTATTCTATGGGCAAGAAGACTTAAATTCTTAAAACATCAAGCGTCATTTACGAGCCTATGAAAACAAAAGTGGTCTAACACTAATAATAATATATTTTTATAATAAATTTAATAATATATTACATCCACAATAAGTTAAAATGCAAATATAACAATTGTAATGCTATTTTTACATTTTATTTTATTTGATTTGTGGTAACCATTTTTGCTTTGATAGACTGATATGTATATATCTTCGTAAATATCATGATGTCAATTTTAAAATGTACTATATTATGTACGCAAGAAGGCTCTATTTGCAACGGCAGCTGTTGCCTGTACAAGTACCATTTTGGGAGTTAAACTTCAAAATTCATTGTGATAGTGACTGAAAACGTGTGGACTCGAGTACAAAAATATATTTATTTATACTATTTAGTTACTACTGGATTTTTAAGTGACGAGTTGATCTTAAGCATTTATTTGCGTTTATTAGCACTAAGTGTTAGATAAGGTATTTAATAGTGTCCGACCGAACTTCGGTTTAGCTTCGGTTTCGATAGAAAGCCTATCATAAAAGCTACATTCGTGAGCTTCAAGTGGAAATTGGGAGCTTTCGGCGTTGTAGAAAGTTAATTTTCCTTATTGAAATACATACCAAATTAAATAAAATAAAAGCTCATCCCATGTCCATTATACCATATGAATAAAATTTTAGCGTGACTTAATTACTCTCCCATGAAATAACTACGTCTAAGCATATACGTAAAGCTAAAATAAGCAGACACTCAAAAATATGCAAAAGAATTATGTTCCTCAAAAGAAACTCTTGTTATGGGTTTCAGCCGTAACTGATTTCGATTCCGGTTGAAAGAGTTTCGAGCGGACACTAATATTTGAAAAGATCTTTAAGATTTGAAATTTTATGATTAGTGACTAACAGCCTAACTTTATTGTAAATTCAAAAGAAAATTGTTTTTTTAATGTAAAATATCCAGAACATTTGTACATATTATATAATGCAAAATTCTTAGACCCCTAAATGTATAGAATAATAATTTTAACGACTTTATGGGTGATTATTACGATATTTTTAATAAAAGTTAGGTAACTTTGGTAATCATAAAATTTAAGTATTTATAACTTGTAAAAAACTTAGTATATAGATCTGACCTAACTCTCAGCTGCATTCCCGGTAAAATAATTAACAATGTACGCTAGTGTAAAAAGTATTTTTCCATATCTAATGAAATGTTTAGGGTTGCCATTTGCTTATTATAAATAAAAATAAAAGTAAATTAATTTAAATACTTTTTTTAGGATATAAAAAGAATAAATTAATTTGGCTAAGGTACTTAATTAATTTTTTATTGATATAATATTTCTTTGTATGTATGCGAGTTAAGTTATAGAGGAATAGACTGAGTGTTCTAAACTATGCAAGCTTTTTAGTGAATTACGTAAAACTGTTGACAATAAACGATAGTGCGACCTCTTTTTCAATAATACCAATTGATCTGTACTTAGGCCTGTTTACGGAATATTGGTTTTGGAATGCTTACAGAAAACCCAATACCGCTTATCTCCTCTTTTGAGGTTTTAGTATTGACTTTAGTTCTGTCCATTCTTCTATATCTACGTCAAAGTTAATTAAGTACACTATATATTATAGTGTTTGAGGATATATTCTAATAACTTTAATATCTAGTGTTAACAGTAAAAATGGATAAAAATGACAATAATATTAGAAAAATCGATAACTTTTCTTCGTCTTAAAAGATGTCAATTATTAACCTAAATATAACCGTAATTAGCTTTTGTATATTCAAAAGTAACTAAAGCTAAGAAGTGTTCTCGAATCACTTTGATATTTTTCATAAAGCCTGAACATATTTTTTATAATGACTTTTGGTTTTAATGGTTGTGAAATGAATTGATTATTTTAAACTTCAGAACAAAATTGTGACGAAAATATTTCGAAACGGGAAACATTTTACTTTTAATGAACTAAGCTTTTATACATAAAAATTATATTTACATCGATCATTCGATAAATTGCTCACTCAGCTTAAAAATGTATGACAACTGGAGTGATGAAATGTGCTTATATGAAGGTATAAAGTGTTTGCGAGGTAAATATTATGTCACAAGTATTAATTTAACATAAGGCACTTATTTTATATAGATATTTTTATATAGATATAAGAGCCCATTTAAATAATTTTCATAGACTTGGGAGAAATCGACAGAGCAATTCGAAACTATCATGTCAAAAATGACAAATGTCAATGTCAAAGTGAGAGTGACAAAGCGATGGTGAAATCATGAAAAATATAGACAAGCAGTCCAATCTCTGTAACAATTGTCCCAAAAATTAAAAAAAAAATGTGGGCGTGTAGAGAGCGCTGCGGTCGCTATACCCCAAGCGGGAGGGAAAATTTTTCGGTATGTTCAAATATATAAGTATTTCACCATTTTTTTCAATATAATACATTTTTTTTAAATAATTAATTTTTTTATCATAGTAACAAGAAAGGTTCTCATTAAATTAGCACTGATTTGTTTATCATTAACTTCGCGCTATTGACACAGCTATTAAATTCTGTCTTAAAAAGTGGTAGTTTCTGGAACTAAAGCTTAAAAAAATTTGCGGACGGATTTCTCATATAAAACCTTATGGAGATTGGACTCCTCGACTCTTCTTCATGGGTGAAATCTACAGCAGTCTTTTTTAAATTTCGATTGTCTTATAAATTGGTCCTTACATAAAATAGCTAATTGTCTACAGAAATCTTATACAGCAGTGTACACTGTACATATTTTCTATGTCTCCTTTGCAGTGGTTAATTTTATGCACAGTATATTGCTCTATGGCTGTTTTGTGTATATTGGAGTATTTTCATTCTTTATAATCAATAATTTCTTAAAAAAAACAGAAATGCTAATAAGGTGTAGATCTAATTTTGAGTCAAAAACATGCACCATCAACTTTCAGATGGATGTAGAATTGCATTTTTTAAAAACAAAATTGTAAAATCGCGTTTGTTTTATTTTGACAATACTACACAGACTGAATTTTTATGTAAATAAATTTGAAATTTATTATTAATATACATGCATTTTTATTTTCCTTGCAAGCTTTTATATATAAATATTTATTATATTAAATAATATATTATAGATAAAAAGAGGAGCAGCATGATGCAGAGCTTTTTATACCTCCTTTTCTAGTATCGTATTAAAATTAATGCCTTTATAATACATGTTCCGAGCTCCGCACTAAATAATAAATATCAGGTGTAAAAGAATGGCTTATAAAACTGAACAAGAATCGATCTCTAGATTCGGACTAGGCTACTATCAAATTGATTAGATTCTGTAAATGGATGCAATGGAGATGGCTGTAGGCTGTAAGGGTTTTGAACATCTTATACAAAAATGAAAGCCTTATTATAATAATCTATATACATGTGGGATTTGCGAGATGAGTATGCGTGGAATGATATTTTAAGAATAAAAGAGGAGGTATGATATAATTTTAGGATTTGGAATGGAATGAAAGATGAATAAAAGAAAAGAAGGATGTTTTGCCATAATGACGACACGACGAGACGCGTGAACATTGTTTAATGTAATTTTAAAAGAATAAATGGTTAATAGTGTTATAAACGCTTTTATTGATATCCCCGGATCCTACATACATATATAAAACAAAGTCGGGTTAGTAACATTAGAAATAAATTAAGAACGGCTAGATCGATTTTATTTTTGATTTGTTGATTGGAAAAATTCACGAAAAAAATTTACATAGCTTACCCTAATTAAACTCGTATCTATTTAAAACAGATCTAGTTAGTTCTTTGCTTTAATGGCTTTAATGCGTGCCAGTTGAGCACAAATTATTTCGCCAATGTCACGTTGAATGGAGGAGTCACGTTCGATAAAACACATCTAGATAGCATCTGAGCAAAGCGAGGGTAAGTCGGTAGTTTAAAATAAATATCTGTTTGACCATTTCTCGTAATTTTATATCACCATTTTTATCTGGATTTTCTAAAAAACAAGCTTTAATTTGATATATACAACTAAATACGTTAACGACGGGTAATACATAAATGAGTTGTGATTTAGGCAGCAAACAAAATTTCAATAAATCCTAAATACATCATGCCGTGTTTCAAAGATAATGCCATTATTATAATATTTAAAGTTGTGTGTTAAGAAATATTTAGTTCAACCTCTTATAAAATAGTAGGTTTACATTTTATATAAGATACAATCGACGCTAAATTCATTACAAGTCCATTGACAAAATACGTTAACATGTAAACCCAACTGCAATGTATTCTCACATTGGCAATTATTAACGGCCTGTCACTGAAACTCTTCTTTAGGGGATTGGTTAAATGAAAGCTGGGCGTACAGCCAAGTGCCTTCCGTCGAGACTACCACGAGTTACGTTTACGATATTCGTTAGCGAGTGCGTTATTTATATAATTAACGCCTCTACATGTTACTGTTTAATTGATATGTCGTATATTGTAGTTAAAATGTATGGTATAATAATTTTGTTGCGGGTAAGAGATATTGACGTTTTGATATCAAAGTGAGTGCTGAGTGTGCTATAGCGTCCATTTAACAATGTTCGTACCAGAGTTATTGAACAGTGGCCACCTTTTTTCTAGAATGTTGCTTAAAGTTTAACAAAAAATATTTAATACTTATACATATGTTACTATGTGCAAAATAAAGAATATATACTTTTTTATGTATTCAATTATCCCGTGGGCTAATCTAGAAGGCTAAAGTAAAGAGCTACGGTACATGATTTTATATTCTGTGACAATTTCTAGGAACTTTTATTAACTAAGCTTTTAATAAGCTAAGTTTTTCAGTACCATAACTTTTCTTTATTTCTCACAACGGCAGAGGTTTAAAAGAACTGTGACTCCATCTTTTATTTGTTGCTTA